CGGGGTGGAACAGGTCATTGGGGAGAAAAAGGGACATCTGTAATATTTTAAACAATAATAAAATTAAAAAAAAAAAAAAAGCTATTCTGTACATTGAGAGATTCATGGATTTACTTTGATTAAAGAAAGGCTCACCTGCAGCAGAACCACTATGTTGGGGCAGCTGAAAACGATGGTTCAGAAGTGGGGATCCCACTCACCAAGAAGACAGAAAGAAGGGAAAGGCCCTGACCTGGCTATTTTGACCTCTCAGGAGTGTCAGCTGAGAGCAAAGGGCGGCCATTTGCGCAGCCCCCTCGTGTGGCCGTGGCCGGGAAGTGCATCAGCAGCCTGGCCCGCGCTGCCGGGCTGAGCAGGAGAATCAAAATATCCGAGCTGAAAAGTACTTGGGGGAAAATGAAACGCACCAACCGGAATGACGCTGAGATCTAGGGGGGATTCAGTTGCTTATCTACGTGAACACAACCAACTCTTGGCAGATGACAGGCCCTCCAGCTTCCACTTCCAGTCGTGTGCTCTTTCTAGGAGGAACGGTGATTCTCAAACGGTTGCTGTGCGCGAGAATCACCTGGGGAGCTTTTTCTTTACACGGCTTCACTGATGTGTAATTGACGTGCAATAAACCGCACGTGCTTAAAGAGTACAGTTTGATAAGTTGTAACATCTGTACACACCTGTGAAATCATTTCCACAGTCAAGATTGTGAACATACCCGTCACCCCCAAATATCTCCTCATGCCCCTTTGTGAACCCTGCCTCCTGCTCCTCCCATACCCCCATTACCTGGGGGACTTTCAAAAACTACAGATGCCTGGCACCAGGGCTCTTTAAAGCTCCTCGGGTGGTTTTAATGTGCAACTAGGGTTGACAATCACTGTACTACACACTCCTACTAATCTCTGCAGAGATTAGTCTCCAAACTTAATTGTCAATGTCACCTGTGGAGCTTTAAAAACACAGATGTGGGGAACCCCGAGGGATAAGGGGAGGGGCAGAGATATTTTTAACAAGCCAATGAAGGTCTGGAGTAGAAGACTTTTCCTACATTCACTTTTTTCTACTTTTTGAATGTTACAAGCCTGTTTTAAAAGTAGCTAACTTAACAAGGAATACATTTTAGTTGTTAAATTGGCCAAAAAGTAAAATTAATTTTCAAAAAACCCTCTTTACTGGTGCACTAAGGCAAGAAGAAAAATAAAAGTTTGAGGACTGGGAAGAAAAAACCTAAACCTGCCATTACTCACAAATGGTATGATGGTGAACTCAGAAAAATCTAAAACAATCTACATGATGATGATTAGAATTAATAAGAATTAATAGAATTAGCAAGGATGCTAGATAAATACACATACACAATTGTGTTCTACATACCAGCAACAAACCTGAGAAAATAAATTTTTAAAGATGACCCTTACAATTGCTGTAAAAAATCAAGTACCCAAGAATAAATCTAACCAAAGTTGTATGTCTGAGACTTCTATTGGAAAATACTATAAACACTTCATTGAAAGAAAGTAAAGAAGACCTAAATAAGCACCAATACAAATCCCAACAGGTTATTTCACTTGCTCGTTTGTTTTTGTGCAACTTGACAAGTTGATTTCTACACTTTGTAAGGCAAGGCAAAGGGCCAAGAAGAGCCGAGACACTTCTGAATAGCAACAATGTGGGAGGACTTGCTCTACCAGACATCAAAACTTATAAAAGTGCAGTGATTAAAACAGTATAGGATTAGCACAAAGACACACAAATAGAATAGAAAGCCTAGAAATAGACCCAGACGCAGATTCTGATTTATGACAAATATGGCATTTCAAACCGGAAGGGGGATTTTCAGTACATAAATAGCATTCTCAATCAATGCTATTTGGGATAGCTGGTGATCCATAGGGGGAAATGAAGTTAAACCACCTCTCATACCATACATAAAAGTCAATTCCATGTGGGCTGTAAAAATAAATGTGAAAGGCAAACAGTAAAGCTTTTAGAAGATAAACAGAATATCTTTGACCTCGAGGTTAAAAAATAAAGATTTCTTAGACAAGACACATACAATAAAGACACTAACTATAAACGAAAGGTTGGTAATTTTTACTTCATTAAATTAAGAACTTGTAAGTTCATCAAAAGATGCCATTAAGAGAGCAAAAAGGTGAGCCACAGAGTAGGAGAGGGTGCCTGCAGCATACATGACTAAGGACTTGTATCTAGAACATACACAGAATTCCTGCAAGTCAGTAAGAAAAAGAGACAACCCAATCAAAACTGGACAAAGACTTACTTGCCCAGTATACATCAAAACTGGTCAGAGCAATGTTCTTCATAATAGCCCCAAACTAGAAACTACCCAAATATCCATCTATAATAAACTAATAAATTGTGGTAGATTCATTCATACAATGGGGCACTATATGGACACTAATGAAAATAAACAAACTTCACCTACCTGCAGTAACATGAATAAATCTTAATACTGAGGGAAGGAAGCCAGAACAAAAGAATACATTCTAGATCATTCCATTAATATGAAGGTGTTTTTAAAAATAGGCAAAACTAAATCACACTGTTTAGGGATGCATACATGCTGGTAAAACTATTTTTTAGAAAAGAAGAGCCCTAGCCAGTTTAGCTCAGTGGTTAGAGAGTCGGCACTCGGACTGAAGGGTCACGGGTTCGATTCCAGTCAAGGGCACATACCTTGGTTGCATCGATGTTTCTCTCTCTCTCCCCGCCCCCACTCTCTCTGAAAAGCAATGGAAAAAATATCCTTGGGTGAAGATTTAAAAAAAACAAAAAACAATTCAGTAAAGGAAATTTTAAAAAAAGGAGATAAAAGTCGAGATAGTGATTTCAGGAGGAGGAGGGAATTGTGACTTAGAAGTGGCATCTGGGCAGCTTCTGGGGTTCCAACGCTGTTTTATTTCTTGAGCTGAGAGGGGTTGCATGAGTATCCTCTTTAAAGTATTTTAAGAATATACATTTATATTTTTATGTACCTTCCCACTGTGTATATTTCACAATTAAAATGTTCTTCAAAAGTGTGATTTGCAGGCTGACTGGGGAACCATGCTATAATCTAACTATTAGAACAGCCAAACGGGAATATCTCACTTCCTCAGTAATGTCAGCCTCGTGAAGCTGAATGCTTTTTACACATCATTCAATGACGCTAATGATGAGGAGGATTCATGAATCTGCATCTGCAAAACTATTTTTCCTGAGAATTTCAAAGCTGGGCCCTTAGTTCATTTAACAATGTAATCCATATAAACTAACAATGATATAGCCAGTCAATTAATTGCAATAAATACTGACATCTAATGAGCAGATGAGTAAAACAGACTCAAAAGGATACAGCAACTCTTTCTAAGAGCTACGATTAAAATGGCCCTGATCTGAGTGGTCACAAACAAAAATGCTGCCACAGATGGTGCATAATTATTGCTTTGAAATAATTCAAGGTTCAAATGCTTAGAATATATCACCTTTCAATACTCAATTCACTTCTGTATTCAGGGTGACTCTACTACAGAGGCTGACTGAGTGAAGTGATTAGGAACAGATAAAATACATTTCTCTTGCTATTCTAATGTGTGTAATACTTTTTCACATAAATTAAGTTTCAATATTAACAGGAGGTAATTATGATTAGCTCCATTTTCCTAGTGAGGAAATTAAGACCCAGACAGGTTAAATAACTTGCCCAAGGTCACACAGCTAGTTAGGACTTGGATGTGAATTCACATCTGATTCCTGACAGACAGATAACTCACCTGAGGATATGCTTTTATTGATTTTAGAGAGAGAAACATCAATGTGAGAGTGAAACACCGATCAGTTGCCTCTCGTGTGCGCCCCAACCTGGGATTGGACCGGAAATTTGGGTATGTGCCCTGACCAGGAATTGAACCTGCAACCTTTTGGTGTACGGGACGATGCTCCAACCAATTGAGCTACCCAGCCAGGGCTATTTACCACTTTTGATAATGATTTCAGAAAAAAACTTCAGGGAGACATTTATAAATCAGAGTAGGGCCAGATTTTTTTCACAAGAAAGCATTTTACATTGTCACATGAGGGATTAAACAATAGTAAGAATAAATGTTTTCAGTTAGATGTCAGCCTGGATAAAATGTTTGGCTTATCTGAAAATAGCTATCTTTTCCCACCAGTTACATCCTTGTATTGTGTTCTTTTGCCGCTATCAAATGAGAGCAGAGGGACCCAAGAAGGGGGGGGGGAGATAGAGAGAGGGAGAGAGGCTAGACTAGACTAGACTAGAATGAACTGATTCCCTAAAACCCAGGTAGTTGAGTAGCGAAATCTAGGTTAAATATAAAGTTTTTTGTTTCAATTGACAAACAGGTCACTAGGCCATTAGGTAACTGGTTCAAATATCAAGCATTCTTTGCTCCACATCTCAAAATATCCTTGTTACCCCCAAAGGTGCTTCTCCATATCAGCCCCAGAGGTGGCCCCCAATATCTAGGATATCGGTATAGGTAAATCTTGAGGGAGGACTTTCAGTCACTAAAGACTGAGGGGGCAGAGGTCTGAGGTGTTGGAATTAGGAGGAAACCTCCCTCAGCAGAGCTCCCCCAATCCAGCAAGGGAGCCTTGGAGCCTGGAAAGCTCCTCATGAATGCAGCCGCCAATTATTGCTCCATTCACTTTCCACCCTTTCCCTTGGAATTTATAAACTGCTCCTTATTTTCTTCCTAGAATCGGAACAGATAAATTCACATTCTGTCTTCTATCAATGGAGCACCACAGGACTGGAATTCATTCTAGAAACTCACATAGGAGATACAGATGTTTAGTTTATGACCCAGCAGATTGTTTAAAAATATCTGTACCCTTGCCCTGGCCAGTTTGAATCAGTGGTTAGAGCGCTGGCCCGCGGACTGAAGGGTCCCAGGTTTGATTCCAGCCAAGGGCACGTACCTTGGTTCCAGGCTCGTCCCTGGCCCCGGTCAGGGTGTGAGTGGGAGGCAACCAATCAATGTCTCTCTCTCTCTCTCTCTCTCCCTCCTTCCCTCCCTTCCACTCTCTTTGAAAAGCTATGGAAAAATATCCTCAGGTGAGAATAAAAATGTCTGTACCTTTAGACCCTCTTCCCCAAAGACACATTAGGGTCATAATACAACCTAATAATAATCCTACCAACACTAAAGAGAAGAAAAAACACTAAAGAGAAGTGAAAACAGGAACTTTTTCAAGACTACAATAATTCCAGCTAAAGCCTGTATATGAAATAGCCTGTCAACATCTGATTTCTGACTTAAGAGACAAACCTTGTCGGAAGGGGAACTACATGCTTCTGACCAAGGGCTACAGTTTTAAGAGCCTTGAGATCAGAAGTGCTCTCTGGACTTGGCAGCTGTCCTTTTGCCAGAAAGCAGCTCGATTCCCCTTCAAACTTCCCGGCCTGTACAATAGCTACTCCAGGCAAAGATGGCTTTTTGTTTTGAAGTCTCCCTCATAACAGAGGGGCAGGATAAGGAAATAATGGCTTTTAAAGTCAGAGCAAGCAAACTAAAAGGGGTCTTATCCTCTTGGTGTTTATTTCTTGGACGAGATTTCTAACCCTGCTCTGAAGCCCCCTGTTGAGATCAGGGACAAACAAGATGAAAGGGAGAAAGCAGAGGAAAGGCGACAAAAGAACTTCAACCTCAGGGCTCTTAGTCCTCAGGGAAAACACAAACAGGATGAGTCTGTGTGTTTGATTTTGAATTCCCTGGATGTCAAGAGAAGCGATTAAGTACACCAAGGAGCTGGGCTTTCTGAGCAAGCTGAATCAAAACTCTTAAAGTTGCCATCTGAAAGACCAAGCTCATCTCCCAGGCTGAGAGCCACCGTGGTGTTCCCTGCGGAGGCCCATTTCTCTGTTGGGAAGCGGTTTCTCTGTCCCTTTGGCTCTGGCATGACCCACCTGCCATTCTGTTGTGGAGGAGATGGTGGTGCAAGGAAACAGACTCCTGACAGTGTATGGAAGGCCTGCCTTGAGTGCTCCTACATTCCATCTATTGAACTGTTCATTATCAGGTCTGCCTGAGCTTCTGAGCAAATCTGCTAACTCTCCCTTTTTTTAAGGGAAAGAAAGGTACATGTTCAGGTAATGGCTGCCTCACTTTTATTCGGATGACAGGAAAAGTCATTCTGAACACAAATGCATGGGATTGATACGGAAGGCATATGCACTTGTAAAGGGCAAGACAACCTCTGAGGACCCTCTGCTGGCTGGATCCCACTGTGTGGTGGACCAGAAGACTTTTCTTCACATATCTTCTTTTTGCTCAACCATCTAAACAACTTTTGTGCAACTATCTCAGCTTCCTTTTAATGATCTTTTGGAAGAAAGACTCACCTGAGAATGTACTGAAAGCAGGGGACCTGGTCCCGGAAACACACACACACACACGCGCGCGCGCGCGCGCGCGAGACACTTTTACATACAATGTCAGGGAATTCATAGGTCTGTTAGAATGTATACATGGAACCTCCTTATGGACCTAAAGTAAAGAACCTCTGGTTTAGGAGAAAAAATAATTAACATTGATCAGGTACTTGCTATATGTCAGGCACTATTCTAAGTGTTTTAAGTAGATTTTCTCAATTAATCATAACCACCCCATAGGGTAGGGACTACTATTTTCTATTTTACTGATGAGAAAACAATGACAAAGTCACTTGATCTAGGTCAAGCAGCCAGTAAGTGGCAGAGTCAGGGTTCAAGCCCAGGCCATTTGGCTTTGGAGTTCCTCCTCTTAGCTACAAAGTCACAGCTGTGAAATAAAACAAATGAAAGTAATTTTTTTTCACACAGACCATGATTGTAGCAGCTTCTGTTTTTGCTTTTTGTGGGGGGTTGGGGAGGAGACATGGATAATTTGCCTCTCTAGAGATCTGAGAAAGCGGATAAGGCACTGGGTGAAGGAAAGATGCTTGACCAACTAGTACAGGCCCACTACTGATCCTCTTCATGGCACAAAACACTAGGCAGGCCCTCTACTTTGCTTCCAAATAGACCTGTGGCACTGATGTTAGCCCTTGAGCTCTGAGATCTTGATCCAGTAGTTGGCATTCGTTTCAGGGTCACAAACCTAGATACCTACAAAGGCCAGGAAAGTGATGCAAATGTGAGATGCAGGCTAATGTAAGACAGTGAGGGGCAGAGGGGCCATGACCAACTGGAGAGTGCATGTCCTGTGTAAAGACATTCACATTGAACAACAAAAACTCCCGTGAAAACCAAACACAAGACATTCAGACTGTGGGTCACCAGTTTGTGGCCTCTGAGTAGACCATTTCCTTCCCACTGTGTAGGTATTTCCAAGTCAGGAGCAATCTGTAAACAGGGGACACAAGCTAGCCCGTGTGACAATCAACATAATTTCCATCTCGCTAGAGCCATGTTTTTATGTGCTGACCAATGGAACAGTAGGTCACTAGCAGAAAGATCCACGCACCGGAGAGGAAGACCCTTCAGGCAGTAAGTGAATGCACACATCACATACCTCATACACAGGGCGCACTCCAGGTCCGCTGCATCGAAAGATGGAAGGGGAACACTGGGAGCAGGCTTGGCCTCCAGATCAACGGGAGCATCTGCAATTTAGAAAACAGTAAGTCAGAGCTGGACCAATCTTGGTTTCACAGGCAGAACTTGTAAGGCAACAGAGCTGAATTACTTTTTCAGTTTGCCACTCTCACCCCTTTCCAGAGAGTTGATTTAGTTGCCACCACACTCACAGACAATGGGATACCCTGAAATAGTCTCTCGAGGTGTCCAGGAGCCCCAGACAAAGAGAAGTGCAAGGCAGGGAATGTCCAGCAGCCCTAGGGACTTCATTCAAGTTCAACAAGCACCTCGTGTAGCAGGAGCAGCAGCGGCAACTCCAGGGACTGAGCCAGGCCTTCAAAGCTGATACTGAATCCTGGCACTGCTCACCTCTCTTGGAAAGCTATTGAGCTGCAGCTGCTGCTTCTCAGATGCCTACCTACAGAAACACAACTGGGAAGGAGCAGAGTGTGGCCTGATCACACGGCTCTGGTCCTCTGTTCCTGGAATAGGGATGGGGGTAGGGAGAGGTTGGCCTGGCAGGAAGTGACACCATCAAGGGCATTGGATATCATCACTTGAGACTCTGCTTGACCTTATGCCTTGGCTTTCCATTATAATTATTCTTGAGCACTGGCAGTACGCTGGGAACTATGCATGCTCACAGAAACTTCATAGCAGCCCCTGAGGTGCCACAGTTCAGTGCCAGAGCTGGGCCACACACCCCGAGCCCGAGGAGCCCTCAGGTGGAGAGCAAGCAACCTGCACACACTGGGGAGCCCAGGCATCTCCAAGCCCCTTTCCCGCTGGGTAGAGTCAGTACCTGGCTTAGAGACTTTATGAGGCACCTCTGGGTCTTGGGGTTCAACTTGACAATGTTTCCTTTTCTTTTTCTGGCATTTGCCAGTCTTGGAGGCAGCTTCAGGAGAGGCAGCGCACCGGCTGTCCTCCTCTTCCCCTTCCTGGTCGTCGGCGCTGCCGTCCTGCTCGCCCTCCTTTGCCTTCTCTGGGCTCCTCGGGATGGCGCAGTCCCCGCTGGCTGCTGCTTCCTCCCGTCTAGAACAATGTGGGAGCTCCTCGTTTTCCTGGAGGAACAAAGAGCTAAAACGTTGGAATCTACTAGGGACCAGTACTGTCCTCTGATATTCCCACCACAGGGGACAGAGAGAGAACTGCACAGCTCTGATCATTTAGTGGACACATGGCTTCACCAGGGGGTGGAGGGCAGTCATAAGACATTATTTCCCATTTCTGTCCACACAGCATCAGTAACAAAGTCATGCCCAGCTTGGGCAGAGTGGGGGGACTTCCCCAGGCAAGGACAGAAGGGCACGTAGGGGAGAGATTCCTTGGGAAGTGGTGAAGGGGAGAAATGTAAAATGTTGCACCAGTCCCCTCTCCTATCCAGGTTGTTCCCCAGTTACTCCATTAGGGAAACCAAGGCTAGATCCTGCCCCTCAGTGCTTCCTCTCACCTCGCTGCCATTCCAGGCCAGCGCATGCCCCACAGCCCAGCTCCGAAAGGACTTTCAGTAACGCTTTGGCACAGGTGCGTCCACAGGCCTGCGAGTTACCTCATGCTCCAGAGCTAGGACAGTGCTCCACTGAATTAGGGCCAAACTGGTCCCTTTACTAGATTTGGGAGAGGGGGGTGTCTGAAAAGGAGACAAACTCATTTGGCAAAACAACCAATAATATCTCTAGCTTTTTAAAGAATGTTCGTCCAGGAGAGGGATATTTGAAAACAGATCTAGAAATAAATCCAATGACAAGGTGTTTATGCAGATTTGCCTGGAGAACCCCTTTCTATTCTAACCCCATAGCCTACAGATCAAAATGCCCATGTTCTTGTTTCCCCTCCAACCCCTACCAAAAAAACCTGGTAGACGGATGAAAAATGAGCTCCATACAGTTGGGAGAAAACAACTAGTTGAGGAGAAAAAGGAAGTGGGTTTTCTCCATCTCCAACCTGGGGATTCAGTTTTTCAGCACCTTAACAATGCTGTGTCCTCACCTTTCCACGAGCCCCAGGTGCTGCCTACATGGGAGTACACTGCTTTGCAAAGCCAGGTTTGGATGGAAACCCTATCCCTGCTCTTCCCCAGCCGGCTCTCACTGGGAAACCAGGGGTGCTCTTTTTCTTCATTTTTGGAATGAGCTGCAATTTGGAGTCACTCCAGGCATTCAGTTCAGTGTTAGGGTTCTCAATCATGTAATCGTGATCTCAAACAATTATTGAAATGCACTAGGGGCTCTCTGATTTCAGGAGATACTCTTTGAGTTCTGCCTCTCTCCCCTTTCTGAGTTGAACACACCTGCATTTTCTTCCTTTTCCTGAGCAGGGAGAGAAGCTGGGCAAATGTAAGATTTCCACCTGCCAGAGAATCCAGGAAACTACAGGGATCCCAGGGCTTACATATGGGGAAGAACACAGGGGGAACAGCGGCCCCCCCAGGGGCTGAGGTAGCCAGCTCTAAACTCTGCCTTCAGGGCTGGACTTCTGAACCTCAGCTGCTGCCCACTTGCCCTCTGCTGGGAAAGCCAGGGCCTGGAGCCCATCTCTCCATGGTTCTGTTCCCTGGTTTTCAAAGAAAGGCACAAATACCTAATTTCCTCCCAGGATTTTAACCCCTCCCCAATCGCTTCCCTCTTCTCAGCCTCCAATAGGTACGGAAAGTCTACTTCTGTGTAAGACACGGTGCAGGAGTAGGAAATTACCTCCACTTGGGGATCAAATGGAGTTGTCTTTACACAGGGAACTCAGCTGGTGCTCAAAGACCAGCAGCTTCAACAAAGGGCAGGAAAGGACGAGCTGTCAGGCCCTCTTCCCAGGCCCCACCCCTGGGCTGCTAAAGCCACTTCATTGAATGGCTCCAGTGGAAGTGGGCTGATTCCTTTCCAGTTCTGTCAAATCTCCCTCAGCTGGATTTGACCAGGAACTGAAAAATGAATGTGACAGATCATAAACCCCAGGACCATGCCTGAAACCCAGTTTTTATCATTAAGAAAGAACTTACTAATAGAACATAAGCACTTCATTTCTTCTTTCTCAGGAACTGAATGAAGCAGGAAGGAGAGGGCTCACTCCCCAGATTTGCCCACAAAACAGCCAAACTTGAAGCGTCACAAATAAGCTGGGTGAGTTGAGTTTTACCTGTGACAACTTGGGTAGATTATGGCTGGCGACTTCAGAAGCCATTGACTCTACGTGTTCCTTTAATCTAGGGTGAGGTGCCAACAGCTTCAGGATATCAGGAGAATATTCCTGAGACTCCCCTGGGACTGATGGTGTAAAGAAACTAAGGAGAAGCTGTGACATAAAACAGAAGACTTCACTACTTAAGTTTCTACAGGTGCTCAGGTGAAGGGGGAGGGGGAGGAAGGGGCACAGGGCAAAGCTTTTGGGACAAAACTCCAGGGAGGAAGCCTGGAACCGGGCAGACCAAGGCAGACAATGGCAGGAGGCCTCACTTCAATGTGCATCAGAATCACCTGGGAGCTTATTCAAAGTCCAGGTTCCCAGTTCCCATGCCTGGCTCCCCAGGTCTAAGTGTGGCCCAGGAATCTGCATTTTGAAAATGCCTCTGTCATTCTAGTCAAACTTAAGATCTATCACTCCAGTGCTATCATCCCATAGAAATACCTGCAGTAGGATTTACAAACCTATGTAGGAAGGAAGAGACAAAGAGGTGAAGGCAGGAGACAAAAACATCAGCTGGGGGACCTGGAGCCATGTCCGTAACACCCCAGTGGGTAGACATCTACAATTGTTTTTTAAGTTCTGATATTTCTTTCCTCTGCCTGCCTATTTCGCTCCCTCTTTCCCCAACCATCATTGCAGAAGCCAACCTTCCTCCCTTTTCCCAGCCTCTCCTCCCCCATCTGACCTTCACTTTCCAGAGAAAAGTAACTTCAAGTACTAGTACTAGTACTGGGGCAGGCAGGTTCCAGTGTATGGCTGGTTCCCTTGCAGATGCACATGCCCATTGAGTGAGAGGATCCAGAAAGGACTGGAGTCAACGATGGGTGTTCTAGTGCAGGCTGCACCACTGGCTGCCCACCTTCTTTCCTCAATTCACCCTGTGCCAGCAGGGATTGTGAATACACATGTGTATATGTTGTATGTAACGTGTAATGCAGGACAGGTCACTTGGCTTCTAAAACATTCAAGATTTTACACTGAGAGACCCCTGCAGTGTTTGGAGACCCACTAAAGTATGTCCCACCCCTTTGCTCAGTAGGGCTGCATAGTCAGGGTATTAATTGATCAAGAGAGCCTGCCAGAAACTCTGACCAAACTCTCTCCAGTTTGATTTGTTCCCTGCTGGCTCCCCACCAGTTCCTTCCCAGTGTTCCTTCAGATGTTGGCACTTGCCACATAGCCAAACTCTGCTCGGCCTTCAAGGCTCAGCTCCGGTGCTGCCTTCCCCTACTGCTCCAGGCTCCCTGATGTCACCTGTCCTTTCATGTTCTCCACTGCACCATAATATAGTGCCTCACACTACACCATCTTGTGTTAGCCTCAAATTGTATTGCAGATGTAAGTCTTTCTCTCTAACCAGATGATCAGCTTCTGGAGAGCACATGACAGATGTCCAATAGATACTCATCATGCTGGATGGAGCTGAATTAACACACTTATCCACCCCAGGGCCCAGGCAGAGGCCTTGGGTTCAGGCCCAAAGTCCTCAGACAGAACCCCGTTTCCTGGAAACCTACTTCCCAGGTCTAAGTTGGTAAGAGAGTGGGGTGGGAAGGCACTCACAATTGCCCAGGGTCATAAATTCCAATTTTCAGAGGCCTCTTCTCCACAGAAGCCAAAGTTGGCTCTCTGAAGCCCAGTAGGACCAACCCATTTCTGAAGCAATCTCCCTTGCATTCTCCTAAAAACAGTGGATTCACACAACATCCTAAGGTGTGAGGATAAAAGTGTAGAGTGTGGCAAGAGGTAGCAGAGGCAGAAAGGGGAAATCGAAGGAAGCAAGGCAGAAACAACAGCAGAGCTTCACTTCTTCCCTTTACTGCCTAAAATCCCCTTCTAGGCCTTCCCAATGACTTTGGAAAACAGAAGGTCGTGTCCACTTTCAGTGAGAATAATCATTCCACGTAAATGAAAGTCAAACCCACTTCAGTGTTAGCCTTTAAAAGGCCCAAATGGGTCAAGAAGGGAAAAAATAATCTGAGGTCTGTGAGTGTCTAAGGTAACTAATTAATGCCAAGTGAACCTGGACCATCTCTGTCACATCTGAAAATGGAACAATCCAGCACTCATTTAAGCACTCAGTGTCCCTAAATGGCCACCATGTCCTTGTTACACTCAGTGGAAATTTGCCTCTAAATTCTTGCGTCAACTTCTAAACTCCAAAACACTTATTACAGGCATAGGCTCCTACTGTCTGGCATTTATACTGCCTCATGTAACACATGCAGGGCTGTAAGGTCCTTGAGGACTCACACTGTGGCTTATGCCCCTTCGGGTCTCCAGAGCTTAGCACAGTGCCCTGCCCCATTCACTTAGGCAGCTATGATAAAAGCAGCTGGAAGGAAAGGTCAACCCAACTGCTGATACCAGAGCTTCTCAGGCCATCTGAGAAATGGGCAAACGAGAGTAAAGAAACCACTCACGACCCTGGCCAAGTAGCTCAGTTGGTTAGAGTGTCATCCCAATATGTCAAGGTTGCAGGTTCAATACACCCAACCAGGGCACATACAAGAATCAACCAATGAATGCATAAACAAGTGGAACAACAAATCTCTCTCTCTTTCTCTCTCTCACCCTCTCTTCCTGTCTCTAAAAATCAATCAATAATAATAATAAAAAATCTTTCAGAAACCACTCATCCTTAGGACCTGACACCTGCCTCTGTTCGCCTTTGCACTCTGTCCACAAAATCAAGGTTCTTTTAACCGCCTTTGTCCATCCACTGCAGAACTGGATGGTCCCAGAGCTACTCGCTACCCAGCCCCAGCAATGAGTGCTGAGACTCCTAGCATGTCCTCACAGGACAGCAGGATGGTGAGCCAGCTAGAAGGCCAACTCCAGAAGCAGGTAGAGTTGGGTTTGAATGCTCTTCCACCAATCACTAGCTGCGTGACCTCAGGAAAGTCACCAAGCCTCAGCATCTTTATCCATCTCATCTGTGACATGGAGACAAATTAATAATACCTACTTCCATAGAGATGTTGTGGGGATTAAATTATATCTTCCACAGAGAGCCCTAGCACAGTGCCTGGTGTGCATAAGAAATGCTCAATCAGTGTTAGTAGCTTTTATTATTATTATTATTATTCATGCTACGGACTACACTTAAGATTTGGGGGAGGGTCCACAGCTTGAAGGATCCACCAGTGCTTCTCTCAAGGACACCTTGTCCACATTCCCACACCAGGTCAAAGCAACTCCCCAAAAAAGAAATGTCAGAAGCAGACTATCCAGAGCTCTGCTTCCCCTAGTTCGTTGATTTTTCTAAACATTCATTTCTGAGCCGTCAGAAACCAGTCCTGTCTCGTTCCCTTTATTCATCTCCTGTTCTGCTAACCACACTGGAACAGAAGCACTTGGGGTGTGGTGGTGAATGAGGGGGCAGGGCACAAAGCAAGCAGAGGCCACCACTGACGGTCAGCAACCAACTTCAGGCCAATTAGCCAGGCACGCTGAGAGCCCATTGCAGAAGAGTGAGCAACAAAGTCTGGGAAGCGAGGATGCTTGAGCCTTCACCAATACTCTCAGCACATCATGCAGCTTTTAAAACTAACCACATTCTCCTGGGACTCAGGAGCTGGAATGATTGCTTGGATTATGTTGTAATGGTCACTGACTTATATTTGAGAGACAGTCTGTTTTATTTCTAGCAAAGGAGCTGAAGGTTGGAGTTGTACATATGGCAAGTGGGCTGGGGACCAAGCATCCTTTGAGGAGCTGGCTTCCTGATGTGGCTGGTGAGGCTGTGACTTGGTCCAAGTCAAATTCTACAACTGTAGGCAGCCCCACACCCCTGACCTCTTGTCAGCAGTCAGAATCTCCTCAGTGCACCTCCATCCCAATGTTAACTTGTTTGCATTTATTTTGTCTTGTTTTTTGTCTGATTGACAACCCAGACCCTGTGTCAAAGCAGCAAGAACATTCCTCACAGGTTCCCACGGAAATGCAGCAACTGCTCAATCTGATTGTACACACCAAGAAGATGGTGATTTGGGGGCAATTGGAACTTGTGTCTCCCTCCAGTCCCCTTAGCCCAGGGAGTCACCCACTCAAGACCCCAAATGCCCTGGAAGGCAGTTCCTCCACTCCCCTCGCTGGAGAAGAGAGCAAGGCGGGAGCCCACTGGGCAGCTGGACCTGATGTCATCTCAACTCACCCTTTGGGCTTCAGATCTTGCTCTTTTGTTCTTTCCATCCAGTGACACGCAGTACAGAAACTCTCTTAGTGCTTCCTCCACCTTGCCTAGTGTGGCTAAGGCTTGCGCCTTTCTGAAGTGCGCCTGGAAGAAAACGTTAGCAGTCAATCCCACTCTTACCTACCTTCCTGACAATGCTTTTCCCAACACTAGCTGAACACTTCATGGATATTCACTGTCACCTGAAGTGTTTCAAAGAATTATCTTTTTTTAAAGTATGTTTTTATTGATTTCACAGAGAAGAAGGAAGAGGGATAGATCGCGACATCGATGAGAGAGAGTCATTGATCAGCTGCCTCCTGCACGCCCCCTACTGGGGATCAAGCCTGCAACCCGGGCATGTGCCCTGACCAAGAGTCAAACCGTGACCTCCTGGTTCATAGGTCGATGCTCAACCACTGAGCCACACCAACCAGGCAAGGATTATCTTATATACAGCCCTATAATGTAGGCAACTTTTCTGAAACCCAGTTTAAAGAAAACACAACTAAGACTCAGAAAAGTGATTTGCCCAAAGTAACACAGCTGATAAGTTCTGAAATCAGGGTTTGAGCCTGGGACTGACTGATACCAAAGTCCAAGTTCTTAACCACTGGGCAGTACTACCTCCTCCTCCCCACTGCTCCACCATTGTTTTGGAGGGATCACCAAGTAGCAAGAAATCCCACTTGAACACATACTCACCAGCTTTTAGGACCTGCCTTCCTACTAATTAGTCTGTCAAGCAGAGGCCTAGTCCACATTACTGGCTTGAGTGACCACTTGCACTTACTGATCATTTTTCAGAAGAGGCCCAAGAGGAGGGATGTAACCTCTCCAGGACCTTGACAGCAAAACTAGAACTAGAACTTTGGTCTAGTCTAAGATCTCCAGAAAGTTCTTTCCCACAAAGCAGACTGCCTCTCCACTTACCTGTGGGGAATGGAAACTCCTATATAATTCTCCCATCAACCCTTTCTTCACTGGGGAAGACACTTTTCCCATTTCATCCAAAAGGGTCCACTGCTTACTCAGGCCTGTGTCCCACTGCACTATCAAGGCCCCCAGTCTTAGGCCTTAGGTTAAGGGTGGGAGCAGAAAAAGTTGCAAGAGAGGTCCTCCTACCCCCCAGGGCAGCTCCCTGACTTGCACTGCTACAAGGCCTGAAATGCTCCCACTGGAGCTCCTTTGGATTGACACTGGTGACTTTCATTTTTTATTTATCTTTATTGTTGAAAGTATTACAGATCCCCCCATTGATCCCCCCAACTGCCCCACCCTCAGGCCTTCCCCATTCTATTGTCTGTGGACACTGGTGACTTTTAATAAACTGTAAATGTGTTCCTTGGGAAAGAGAACATACTAACCCATCATCACCCATGGAAACCTTCTCATGAAAGAACACATAAGATTCACTTCAACATCAGTGGCCCAGTATGCAGGTCCACAATGCTTTATCTGAAGTTCCCAGATTAAAAAAAAAAAAAAAAAAAAAAGTCTGATAATCCGATATTTTCATAAGCCTGAAATCAAAAGTCATGAGGTGGCAAAACCTGACCTAAAATGATATAAAGTGTATCATTGTCTTTATCTCAGTGTGAATTTTCATGTAATACAGTGCAGAAATATTAGTGTTTGATTATGGGACACTGTCCAAAACTCACTGACAGTGTTACTTCATATAAGGTCTTTTTGAAATTGGAAACATTCTGGATTCTGATCACATCTGGCCCAATGAAATTCATAAAGGGATCATGGACCTGGACTTGGGTAAGTTGGGTGTCCGAGGACGGCATCCTGGGGTTGTGTAGAGTGAGCACTACACCAAGTCCCAGCAAGTGTTAGAGCTCACAGAACGGCTTTGCTCACCTGTGACCCTCACTGCATCCCTGTGAGGCGATCAGGACAGATAGCAATAGCTTGATTTTACAAACAAGGACACTTGGGGTCCAGAAAGTGAAGTCACTTCCCCATGGTTACTTAGTTGGCAAGTAGTAGAGCCCAGGCTCAAATCTAATCTTCTAAACCAAATATTGACATGTGGCTGAGGGCCAGTCCTGAGGCCAGAGATGCACAAAGTGACACTTTGCATCCTAGCATCCTGAGAGATGCCTAGCCTGTCTTTCTCCCCACCCCTCTGTGTGACCTAGATGTTTGTGGACACTGGCAGGCTGACTGATGACTATATTAAATACTTGAAATGGCAAAACGAGCCAGCAATCCTTCTCCTACCCTCCCTTTTCTACTGTCCCTGGAAAATAATGGTGATGATGATGGCAGCAAACACTTATACAATGCTATGTGCCCAGGCATTGTTCTAAGCATCTTACATGTTTTAACTGATGTAATCCCCACAAAAAACCCTATTTGAATATCCCCACTTTATAGATGAGAAGATAAAGCACAGGGAGGTTAAGTAATTTGCCCAAGGTCACACAGATTCTAAAAGTCGAAGAGCTGGGCACGGCCGGGCATGGCTCAGCGGTTGAGCATCGACCTGGGATCCAGGCGATCAGGGTTCGATTCCTGGTCATGGCACATGCCGGGGTTGCGGGCTCGATCCCCAGTCGGCGGCGTGCAGGAGGCAGCCAATCAATGACTCTCTCATCATTGATGTTTCTGTCTCTTTCCCTCTCTCCTTTCCTCTCTCTGAAATCAATAAAGATATATTAAATAAATAAATAAATAAATAAATAAATAAATAAATAAATAAGTAGAAGAGCTGGGACATATACTCAGGCAGTTCAGGCTTCCAAGTCCATGTTCTGGAGTGACAAAGCCCAGGCTGCTGTTCAGGTCATCAACGGAAGATCAAATTGGGGAAGAATCCAATTCCCTTGAAGACCCCTAAGTCACCCTTTGTCAAGGGACCCCAGCTCCTTTGCAAAGCCTGCTTGAGCTCTAGTGCCCCTACCCCCCCACCCC